CCTTAGGGGGCTGAGGCGAGTGGACTGCCTGAGCCCGAGGGTTCGAGACCAGCCTGGGCAGTATCAAGTCCTTAACCTATTCATTGCTTTATTTCAGCATCCTTTATTTCAGGATCCCAAGATAGTTTTCAGTATACTATCGCCAATTTGTTCTCAAGTGTTCAAAAAATATTTATATTCATTTTATATTCCCAATTAGATTATTTTTTTCCTTGTTGAGATAAATTAAAATGGTCTTTGGAGTACTCAGCTATGAAAAACCGTGGCGTTACTAAAACAAATCCACTTGCAAGTTATTCCATAGATAACAAAAGGTGAAACAAATTTCTGAAAATATGTCATATTATACTAAAGACATCGGCTTATTTACTAAATAATAGGTATTTGTGCTTTGGAGCTATACATTGAAATCTATGACATTTTAAATACAAGATACATCATCCCTGTCTGGGATTGAGATGGGAAAAAAATCAGTCACAGCATGGGAAACTGCACATATTTCCCTCATCTATAAATACTGATTTATAGTCTACACTAAATCTCACTATTTCAGGTACCTATTCCCCATCTCTGCTTTCCCTCCTATTCTTCTCTCCTCTCAGAGGAGACTAGCTAAGAAGCAAAGAACAGAACAAGGTACTTGCTTATATATCTATATCATTGGTATGTAAGACATAGCAATTGGTATATAAACATAGACAATGTCAGATAAAATTTATTTGCCAATATCAATGTGTTTCAGATATCCTAAATATTAATAAGGTGAATTAGCAAGGCAATAAAATGTGGATAAAACAAAGCTGCTATAACTCAGCTTTATTAACTAGTCAATAAAACTCTTTTAAGACTATAAGGCTGAGCAGGGCTCGGTGGCTCAGCCTGTAATCCCGCACCTTTGGGAGGCTGAGGTGAGTGAATTGCCTGAGCCTGCGGATTCGAGACCCACCTGGGCAGCGAGACCTCATCTCTACAATAAATAAAAAAATCAGTCGGGCATGGTAGCGCATGCCTGTAATTCCGGCTACTTGGAAGGCTGAGGCGGAAGGATCGCCAAAGCCCAGCAGGCGAGGCTGCAGTGGCCGGGAGCGGCCACCGCACTCCAGTCTGGGCGACAGAGTGAGACTCCAACTCAAAAAAAAAAAAAAAGAAGACTATAAGGCTGTATATTACAGAAGGATTTTCTTGTATTAAAAGAACATACACGATGAACTGTAGTTATACATTTAATGTATTCAAAATCATCTCTACCCAATGTATGTAAGAGAGACAACATACCTGATATGATGGCACTGAAGGATAGGGGATAACCACTCCTTGAATCTGATTTCCAATGCTGTTGGGTTGGCCACTGACTAGGCTCTGATTCTGGGGTTGCTGGACTCCAACTATTCCTTGGTAGCTTTGTTGCTGGTTAGGCATAACTTGATAACCTGTAATGGCATAATAATTTAAATCCTGCTTTGAATTTATTTTATCTAATAAGATGTTTTTGTATTTTATGCAAGTACTTTAATGTTCTAAAATAACATAATTTTGATTAAATGGCAAATCTCCAAAACCATCTATTATAAGGTAACATTTAAAAAGTTTACTACACAAAAAAAATTTTACTACATAGGTAACCCAAGTATCTACATTCCCCACTTAAAATACATTCTAATAAAAATCTGTGTACAAAGATTTCTTCTACAGTTGAGAAACCTTACAGGGTCACACACTTAGATAGCAGGGCAACTATTATTGTGCATAACAGTCTATTATAACAACTAGTTTCGGGGGACCAGGACTGGACACATAATATATGGGGCATTGTGCAAAAGGAAAATATGTAGGGCTCCTTGTTAAAAAATTATTAAGAATTTCAAATTGGTAATAGCAGAACATTAACATAAGCTTGAAGCTCTGTGCAACTGGAGACGTTGCATGCCCATGACACTGGGCCTGCTGGTGATCCAAAAAACAGAACATTGGGGAGAACCAATTTTATAAAAAGATTACATGTTTGAAAAATCACACGAAGATATGAATCCTTACATTAAGAATGGGTCAAAGATGTAAGGCAATTCAAGTTATACAGTAATGTTTTAGATTATTTCTTCACTGTCACTTAAGGTCACTTGACAGAAAAATAGATCATTAAAGAGATGAAGTAACCTGCTCAAAGTGAAAAACAAACATTTAAGGGACAACTGTGTCCAAGCTGAAGTACTGCTAGTAATTTAGGTTGTAAGAGTATAAATTTACTTTTATCAAGTGTATTTATTTATTTACATAAGAATCTACAATGATAATCTCTGAGCAGTGAATATGAATTGTACTTTGTCTCCTGATCCTAAGGGGGATTCTTTTAGGCACACTAATTAGCTCAATAATCATGTAAATTACTAAAAGCTACTACTACCAGTCTTTTAAAAAAGCCCGCCACGAACAGTTTTTGTTTTTCCAGAAACTAGATAAAAATAAATAATCATCTAGATTCAAGGCATTGAAAAAATTTTCACAAAGATGAACTGAACTATGCAGACTTCAACAGCAAAAGGACAATGAGATAACTGATAATACCATAAATATATTTTATAATCTTATACATATCAAGTTTCATTTACATTCTCATGAATCCCCAAACCAACAAAAACTGCAATGTCAAGTACTAATGACAGACAACAGAATCACTATAGTTGTCTGGTAGCCTAAATGGTTCTACTTAAGGACTAAATAAATGAATAAAGTATAAATACAAGGTACCTTCTCTAAAAATATAAATACAAGGTACATCTAGTAACCAAGCAACATACTAACAACAACGTAAAAATTCAGTTATAGCATACTCTTTAACAGTAAAGAGTTTTTATAAAATGATGCTATTTCTATGGCAACAGTGTTTTATGTCCATGTTTTAAATGACTTCTCCCCAATCTAACTTTGTACCAAAAAAAAGTATTATAGTCCTCATCTGTCATAAAGTGATTAATATGTTGTCTGCTAAACCTTTATCCCTTGTGAATTTCCTGTTATTACTTAAACTTGTAGGCAGGTAAAGAAACAGCAGAAGAAACTTCCTTTCTTGCTTTTTAGTCTCCATTCAACTGTATTTTCAATTCATCAAATGACAAGTATTTCAAATTCATACCTCAAATTCCAAATACCATCAAACCACATACTGACAAATTTCCACTCCTAGGAAAATAAAGGACAGGAATGGAAATGGAATGTGAACATGTTGGAGACGCCACTTCTCAGCAGACACACACACACACACACACACACACACTTATTGCAGCATCAGAATTGGGGTTCTCCATAGACTGGATACTAACTTCTTACAATAGATATGACAGAATTATAGTCTACTAAAGTAAAAACAAAGAAACAAACTGTGGATAACTGGCAGAATTTACTGTAATATAATCTGACTTAAAATAGTTGGACTTAATAGTCATATCCCCCTAAGAAATTTAAAATGTTTTATATATTACTTTTTAAAGTTCATTCAAAAATATTCAAGGTTATACATTGCCTTGAAAGAAAACTTTAAAAAGCAAAGTCAATTTATGTGCAAATGTGACTGATTTTTTTACTTTTTAAAATTTATCAGTTTTTGGAAACTCATTTGGGAGATCTGCCTAAAATTCCCTGATAGGTCTGATAGAGAAGGCTTTCAATAAAGTTATAGAAACTATGTCACAGTGATTTAATGTGGGGTCAGATGGACACTACATCATGAAATTTGTACCAGTAAACTTTCAATGGAATCTAATCTCCATTAATTCTCATGCCTACAAGTTCACATATGCACACACATCCACACAAACACCATGCACATTTTGAAAATGTGACATCATCACATATAAAACACCTGACTCCAACATCTTGTCTATAAGTAACAACGGATAGAAAAAGGGACACTGTGAGCCCAGTACATGCCAGCTGGGTTATATAAAAGGAAGTATGATATGGTCCCTATCTTTGAAATCAGGCATTCTTAACCACGATACCATATGAGGTTAGCAGTATAAATAGAGTCTTATGAAAATAAGAGGAAGAAACTAATGCTGACTGATATTCATGGAGGTAGTGACATATGAGCTTAGACTTGAAAAGGAAAAGCACATTCCGCAAAAAGAAAAGGCCTGGAAAAAGTAACACATTATTAATATATTTGAGGAATAGACAACAATCAGGAGTAGCTGAATATGACATGTGAAGTGATGAGGGCAGAATGGAATGCTGAAGCAGCAAAGGTTTTACATGCAGAAGACCGGTGAGATTTATCGGGAAGTTCTAGATTTTAAAGACTGTGAAAGTAGAAAACAAATACTGGCATCAGTACTTGTTTCAGAAGTAGCACAAATAAACTAGGAACTATATATCCTTGAACAATAGTGGAGCTAATAAAAATGAGAATGCTAAACATTTTAAAAGAAAATACCTTCCCTAAGAAGCACTCTTATTAATTCCCTCATGCTTTTGTCCACTGCCTTACACAACATCTAATAAAACTCTACAGGGGACAAATGTTTTCCTGCTTGTTAGTTGTTCTCTCATGGTTTATGTATGCCTTTTTAAAAAATGAAAATGGTGTGCTTTTTAAGAGTAAAGGAAAAAAATTTTAGCACCCACTACTTGGGTGTTTTTCTTTAAAAGAAAATGACTGACATTAACTATTACAAGGCTAAGCCAAAAAGTGGGCACTCAATATTTATACTCGCTGACTGAACAATAGGGAAAAACAACAACAGATTGGAACCAAAATAATATATGCTTCTACACAAAACCAGAAGCTTACTATGTGCTGATAGGCTAAGAACAGCCAGTTTCTCACTGTCTATGTTTAGTAAATGACTTCTGATAACAAAAGCTTGATTTAAATTTTAAAGTAACATTGGTTTGTAAGGTTAAACATATTTAGTCAACTTTTCATTAAAATGACACCTAATTCCACGAATACAAATCACATCTGTCTGGAATTCATGGATCACTCATTAAGTCTCTCCTAGAAAACTTCACAGCAGCTGAATCACAGATTTCATATAATTAACCTCCAAGAGCTTACTTGGTAAGAAAGAATACTGAACTATTTAAATTCATATCTAATATGTACAGTTTGAAATGATAGTATTTCAACATTTCTGTAAAAATGTGGACATTAATGATACTTTAAAAATTCTTATTTGATCATAAAAATTATTTTCATGGTAGAAGATTTGGAAAATAAAAAGTAAAAGCTACTATGGAAAAATAGTCACATATAGATGATCACCATATGTTGTACATATGGTTAGCCTCATTTTCTATGCAGAGAGCACATATATATACACATTTACATTATTTATAGAAATGGGACTATAAATATATAATAGGTTTTTAAACAGTATATATGTTTTTTTCATGTAATGCTTCCATATCTGATCAAAACAGACTTTACAATCTACGGGAATAAAGTATTTAGGTAATTTTCTTAAAACACATTTAGAGCTGGGTGTGGTGGCTCAAGCCTGTAATCCCAGCACTTTGGGAGGCCGAGATGAGGGGACTGCCTGAGCCCGTGGGTTCGAGAACAGCCTGGGCACCTTGGAGAGACTTCATCTCCACAGTAAATCAAAAAATTAGCTGGGCGTGGTAGTGTGTGCCTGTAGTTCTGGCTACTTAGAAGGCTGAGGTGGAAGGATCGCCTGAGTCCAGCAGGTAGATGTTGGTGTGGCCATGAGCATGCCACTGCACTCCAGCCTGGGAGACTGAGTTAGACTCCAACTCAAAAAACAAACAAAACAGCAAAACAAAAACAGCAAAAACAAACAAAGAAACAAAAAAACATATTTAGACTTCAAGTTTAATGTCAAAGGATGAGAAAATAATTCAATTGAAAGCATGTGTCAAGAAGCTAAAAAGAAAAAAAGACTAAATATTTTAGGATAAACTATGTTGACTCTGTCTGCTCTGGAATTCAGCCTAAAATTTCTATGTCTTTTCATTAGAATACTACATAATTATCATTGCTTCAATGGCACTGCAAGGTAATATTAATAGCTAACACTCATATGACATCTCTTGGGTTTCAGGCACTGTTCTGAATACCTTACATCTATTAACGCATTTAGTGCTCATAATATAATGAAATAGGTACACTTACTATCCACATTTACAGATGAGCAAACGAAGGCACAAAGAGGTTTCATAGCTCGTCCAAGGCCAACAGCAGTAAGTGTGTGGCTGATAATTGCATACCAGTCTGATTCTAAAACTTACTTGTCTTCGGGACAAATGATTAAGTAGAAAAGGTATTATAGGAATAATACTCAAGTAAGCAGAACCTGGCCATTTTCCATGAATTTTGGCTAATGAAGACTTTTACAGTAGTTTAACTTATCTAAGTATCAAGATAAAATTAATTACAGGCAGACTGATAATTATAAATAAAGTCAATCAAACA